GCATAACCATAGGGAACTCAATTATCCCCAAAATCAAATCTTCGTCATAAATCATGGTTTGTTTGGTGAATCTCAGGTGAAGTATGGGGTTGTCTATATGAGTCTTTATTAATTGATTTTGTCCATAAATATCGGTCAAATGCTGAATAATTTCATTAATTTGTTTTAAACTGATAGCTTTATAATTTAAAATGTCTTTTTCAGCAAGATTGAGGCTTCTTTCAATTGATAATATTTTATTAAGTAGTTGTTGGCAAATAAGAGTAAGTTGAATATTTTCAATGCTGTAACCAATTTGTGTTAATTCAACGGTGACCGCGTTGTATGAACTATTAAAATTAGTTTGTATAGCTTCAATAGTATTTCTATAGTCATTAGTGATATGGTGCGCTAAAGAGATAAATTGCGATTATTTTTCAACAATTTCTTTTTGGCTATCGAATAGCTTAAACATATTAATTTTTAGTTCTTCATAATCATTAGAATCCACGGTACCGAAAAGATATTTAAATGCAGTGCCAATTCCGTTTATCAATCCGCGTTTGTTTCTGGTTGGTTTAATTTTATTAATATTATCTTCGATTTGATTTAGTAAATCTTCCGCTGGTTTAAGAAAGGTATTAGATTGTTTCATTGTTAGAATAGCAATTTTTGAGAGTAAATTAATTTAAGTGGTACGTATTTGTGTTAAATTAATATAATAGATAAATTTGTGATAGTGTGTAAACATTTGTGAGGAACCTAAGTGTTCCTCCAAGTATCCGATGTTATTGTCCAGCGGGAGGACCTCTGCTTCTGGTTGGTTTCATTTTATTAATATTATCTTCGATTTGATTTAGTAAATCCTCCGCTGGTTTAAGAAAGGGATTAGATTGTTTCATTGTTAGAATAGCAATTTTTGAGAGTAAATTAATTTAAGTGGTACGTATTTGTGTTAAATTAATATAATAGGTAAATTTGTGATAGTGTGTAAACATTTGTGAGGAACCTAAGTGTTCCTCCAAGTATCCGATGTTATTGTCCAGCGGGAGGACCTCTGCTTGTGCTAGGTTGATTGAGATGGTTATTATCAGTAGCCGAAACATCATTCTGAAACAATGGAACCTTCTTAATTCTTTTTATGTTCTTTACATGGTCTTTTACAGGGAATGAACCGTTAATATTTGTAGTTTCGATCTCGTTTCCTGTCTGTTTAGTATTGATTCGTTTTTTATACAGAATTTCGGTTTTATTTCTTGTGGCATTTTGGTTTCTTACATATATTTCATTGGGAAAAAACGTAACGATAACCGTTTTGTATTTAATTTATTTAAATCATTAATGTTTCGTAGGTAATTTGTAATTCTTGCATCCTATTGTTTACAAATTCGGATGGGTTTTCTAATTGTGGTATTTTATCAGGGTTTAATTGTTTATATGGACCGTATATTATGTCGAATGGTCGCATCTTAGTAGTAGATTGAATGGTGTTATTATATATAAATACAATTTGGGTAATAATGTCGTGAATAGAAGTTTTAGGTGTTTTTTGTTTAAAGATCCTCATTTTCTCTATTACTGTACTATGAAACCTTTCGAGCGGACTTACACAATTAGGACGCAAGTGCGTTTGTGTATACTGTTTAACGATCGAAGATTAGGTTTAGTCACAAACACATGGACTTTAAAACGTAAACAAATACATCTATAAATTAAACACCATAATACTATTTATCTTTAGAGATTGTTTTATTACCGCACAAGTTATAAACACAAATGAGAGAACGTACTCAACTCGTTATATTCTGAGAAAAAGTTTTTGTATTTCTCATTTCACTATAAGTATCCTACTATCCTACACATACACATACAATTTTTTAATTTTCCATATGAAGTAGTGGCATTGTGTAAATGTTTTCTGTATTGTTGTTTTCATTATTAATAATAAATGTAACCATTTTTGATACAACCGAATTCAAGGAACGAGTGATTATATTATTTTCAGTTCTTGATACTTTCCACATTTTTAAATTATCGGATGAATATGGATATGTTAAAAGAGGTCGTAATATTCTTAATTTTCTTCCTTCTATTTGAATAGCATGGAGAGGTGGTAAAGAAAATATTTCTCGAATTTGTAAAACTGTATCATGACCTATCCGTATTGTATTATTTGGATGACTTATGGTTAAAATACAATTTTTGTATCTTAGTTTTTTAATTATTGTTTTACCATTACTAATGGTTTTCTTGCTTAATACTTCTATGTCACTCAATGGATCGCTCGAATGATCAGAATAAGCTAGACATCGCTCGTGTAGTCGTCGACAAACTTGGGTTAAGGGATTTTTCCCACTTCTTAAAAGTTTTTTAATTTTACCCAAACAATTTTCAAATGGAAATGCGGTGAAATATGATATTGATTCTTGTAAGTATGCGGCATCATCAGCTAGGTGGATTAACGAATGCATGTTTAATGTAACACATTTTTGTCCATACAGTTCGTTGGCTATTGTTACGTACTGCCTCAAGAGATATTTAGCATTATCATTATCTGTTACAGCCAAATCTGATGAAAAAATACGACAAGCAACATGTAAAAGCTGTACTGCGTTAAGTTAAAAGAAATATTTAACGGATTGAATAGGTATGTGAGAAAAGAGGGATGACTCCTCTAGCAACACAAGTCGTCAATATTAACTGTATATATATTAACTATAGGTTTATGTATACATAAACCTCAGCGCGTAATATGTTAGATATCTAACATATGTTTTACAAGTGACCCAAATTAGCCACTGACATATACTGTAGTTTTTATTTTAACAACAATCCTTTTCAAAGACTTATCACATAAACTACATGCATATTTTTTTTACATTTATAAATATTTTAACCAGTAAAAATGGTAAAATATTTTTTTAAATAGATAGAAAATTATCATTACTTTTTTAACAATGTTTGTTAATTTAATACAGAAAATTATTTTAGAAATATGTAAATACATACTTAAAATATAAAAACATTGAATATGGTTAAAATAAAAATTATAATATTAGGCCCGGATCAGAAAACTATTGTTTTTCATATTATACATTAATTCCGGTTGATGAAATTAGGTCCATTTTTTAAAAGGAAGGGAAATCGTAAAACGGGTTGCCAAAGGCAATGAATATCCGGACCTGAAAATAAAATGCATAATATGGAAATTTTCATATATGCCGGATCAGGCCCAATAGAAAACGCCTTAAAACGGTTAGCCTTAATATTGCCTTATCCGGCCCTTATATATAATCCGGTTAGCAGTACTTGTTTGGTACTCGGGTAATCTCAAAGTCTCTAGCCTAGCAACAGGCGCGAACGTTTAATGATAATTGACGCCAAACTCCTGGCTGTAGCCCTTAGCAAGCAACCGGGCTTTTCGCTTCTCAATCTCACCATTTGGACCAACTTTATTAGTTAGAACTAGCCGACAGCAGACACTATCCTGATGATTTTTCTTCTTAATAATGTCCCACGTATCATTTTTAACCAACGATGTGATTTCGCTCTCTATCGCGTCTAACCACTCGTTTGAAACATTACTTTTCAGGGCTTCTGTAACACTAATTTCAGCAATCCCTGCGAATACTTCATCTTCGATTTCGCCTTCAATGTTGATTTCATCATCAGCATCTTCTTTTCGCGTAACCGCTGTTCGCGTACGAAACAATTTGCGCGGACGCCCTCTTTTTCCTGTGCGTTGCAACGTCGGTCTTCCTGGGGCTCGTACATCGCACTCGTTGCGCGTATTCGTGCTTGTCGTTGATGAAGGAGATTTTTCCCTTCTCCCTTGAGTGGATCTTACAGGATGTGGCGAAAGTTCTACAGCGTTTCTTTCGGCATTTATTTCTGGATCACTTCCTGTATTAATCCAATCCAATGTCTTCGTGAAATTTCACATCGCGAGCCTCAATCAATTTTCGAGTATTTGGGATCCATACGCGATATCCTTTCCTTTCTCTTTGATATCCCACAAATATTCCTTCCACTGATCGTGGTTCAAACTTATCTTTGCTCGGTTTTTTGTCCAAAACTGCCACTTTCGAACCGAACTTTTTGAAGTAATTCAAATTTGTCTTCTTCTTAGTCCACTTTTCATAGGGTATAGCACCATTCAAACTGCTCGTTGGACACCGATTTCTTATATGGCAAGCAGTGGCAACTGCTTCAGACCAAAACATCGCACTTAAATTTGACTGCAATAACAAACATCGCGCCATATCAAGCAAGGTACGATTAATTCTCTCACTCACTCCGTTTTGTTGAGGTGTGTGAGGTACAGTCAATCGTCTTCTTATTCCATTTGCTCTCAGATATGCGTCAAACTCTTCATTACAGTATTCGCGACCGTTATCCGACTGTAAACATTTTATTTTCTTGCCGGTCTGTCTTTCAACGAGTTGTTGATACATTTTGAACGTCTCGAAGACACCACACTTACGCCTGAGGAAATAGACTTCACCCCACCTCGTACAGTCGTCAATAAATACCACAAAATATTTTGCTTGCCCTGTCGTTTCAGTTTTAAACGGGCCAACAACGTCCGAATGCACAATGCCGAGTATTTCTTTGCAAGGCTTGTGTCCCTTTGGAAATGGTAACGCGGCAATTTTCCCCTTTTGCACACTTCACAAAGCGATAATTGTGCAGCATCTTTTATATTTACATTTGATATGAATCTGTGCAAGTTTTGCAATGTCTTTACCATTCAAGTGTCCACAATAACAACTTCGAATTAACTTGCTGAGCAGACAATGCTTCAGTATATTCAACATCTTCGCGTAAATAAAATAGATCACCTTTCCTTTTAGCAATCATAACGACCTTTTCTTGTGTATCGTAAACAATGGCACAGTCTTTTTCAAACACTACCTTGTAGTTCTTGTTTACAATTTTTGCAACCGATACGAGGTTCGTCCTTAGATCGGGAACATACAGTGTGTCGCGTAACTCAATCAACTTTTGATCTTGAGTACTCTTTACCAATACACGCACGTTGCTCGACTCGCGAGATTTAACTTAATATCAGGAAGTGTTTTCATGGGCTTTAACTCGTTGTGTGTGAGGATTTTGACTTTCAGCTCTTCCGGAGACGGTAGAATGTCACGCGTCTCTATCGCTGTACGAAATCCTTCATATGAAGCTGGGAGACTGTATAGCAACATGATTGTTTGTAGATTATTGCTAATATTCTCGCCCATACTCTCCAACTTATCAACTGTGTCGAAGAAATCATTCAAGTGATCTCGGACGTCATCGCCTTCACCTAATTTCCTCAAAAGCAACTGCTCTTCAGCTTCAGCCATACGTCCCTCGATGTCTCGCAATTCTTGATGTCTTTCAACAAACGCGGTTGAATGGACGAAATTACTTCTGTCTTCGCCACGTCGTCTTTTTCCTCCCAGGACTGCATCGCTTCCGTTGGCGCGGCACCCATTCCACGTTCCGGTTTAATCAGCGATCCATCTACGTATCTCCACAAGCCATTCTTTCTTAACCAAGCTCGTACGTGGGATAGCTCGTAAACCAATTGTCCATGGTGACATTTCTTCGTGTTTGAGAGATGGGTTATATTATACGATCTACTACATGATGCGGCTTATTGCTCACCTTATATGGACCTTCTGGCTGTTGTCCTGTGTATATCTCCATATTCAAAGAATAATAGGTATGGGCATCAACGAGGGCTATAATCATGCGGTTTCAACTCTCCTGTCAAAATAGTTGTGACTAAACCTGGCAGATGGCGGTGCTTGCAGCGTTTAAAGATTTTATAAAATGGGTTGCATAAGAAAAACAGCATTACGATCATAAAAAAGATTATCATAATTTTTATTTGCATTGNAGATTTTCGATGTTAATATATTCTTTCTCGAAAGTGTAATCAAGTTCTTCTAATTCGTCCATAGGGGTAACTTCTACAGGGTGTTCAAATATGTATGATTCTTCGAAAGTGCTTGGAATGGTAGCGAATCCGTTTTGCACTTCTACAAGAACGGGAGGAATATTTAATTCGGGGATTTCTTCTAAAAATACCTGTCCATGGTTAATATCGACTGGTAAATGTATTTTACCATTTTTCGGTTGAACTTCGATTGGTTGGAAAAAACGTGGGTTATTATACAAGTGAAATGGTATTTCTAGATCGTTTAGGGTTATTGTATTAATTTGGTAGTTAATTTTTGCACCTAATTGTTTCAAATCGTTGGTTCCTATAAGTGCGTCGAATTTTTCATGCCACTTCATAATTCTAAGCTGAATGGGGTTGAATATACTTATACCTTCCAAAAAAGGGTAATAAAGATTATATTTTTCACTTCTAGAAACTGTTGCAGATCTTACTGTGAAGGGTTGTTCAAAAATGTACTCGTCGGGAAAACAAAATGCAACTTCGGGGTTAATTATAGAATAGTTTGCGCCAGTGTCAATTAAAATTTTTAAACCATTGGGTAATATAATAAATGGCAATTTTGGCATACTAGCGGCGTTGTTCAGGTCAATTATGTCGTCGGATCTGAAGAGGCTGTCTGTTGAAAATTTTCGTTTTCGTCTTCATAGTTTTCTTCAGTGTCGTAGTTTTCTGCATTTTCCTCGAAGTCGAATTCCTGTTCTGTTTCCGGATAGTTTTGTTCTTCCATATTCGTTAATTCTTCAGAAATGAAATTTGACGGACCAGTACTTCTAAAATGATTAACGAATGATTGACGTGGTCGGGTTATACCAGGTGTAAATGTATTTCGAGTGCTTGTCGACATTGGGATTGGTTTTGGTAGTTGATGTGGTGTTATGACGTTCTTTTTGAAGACGTTGCTCGGGGGTTTCCCAAATACTTGTTGATTAGTAGGAAAATGTTGTTTTATCGGCTTACTTTGGATGTTTATAGGTCCTCTTGGAAATGGTGTAGTTGGAGTCGTAAAAGGATTATAATTTAGTCTTGGCTGTGAGGCAGACGGCTGATTGAAGTAAGGTCGGGTAAATTGAGTAGGTGCAGGTGCAACTATTTTGGGATTCGGTTTTACGTCCTTTTGGTGGTTTTGGTAATCCAAAACTCGTGACATGTATGCTTCATTGTCAAGAGTGCGACATTCTTCAAAAGCGTCCTTGAGCGTTCTAGTCCTAATATGCCTTAAATGTGAGCGATAGGGCTCCCTAATTCCTGCTCTAAATACCATCAGGGCCTTTTCTTCATACATTTTTGATTTTATTAGCAAACTGTCTATCATTTAAACGAACAAACTCTAATAGGTTAGCTAATTTTTCTTCGATCTGGTCGTAATATTCGGAATAACTCCAATTACGTTGTTGACTACATCGTGTTAATTCTAATTCCAAAATTATTTCAGAACGGGGGTCATCATATTTTTCTAACAGAAGTTTCTTGAGAGTCCCAGTTGTTGACAATCTTCGTACTAATGTATCTAGCAGCTTTGTCAGTAATACGAGTCACAATTAAATCTAGTAATGCTACATTTTTGGTAGATGGAACGTTATCGCCATGAATAGAACAATAATGTTCTGCCTTGTTTATAAAATTTGAGAGTTCGCAGGGTTCACCAGAAAATTTGGGGACCGTACATATTTGACGTTGTGCGTCAGCAAACGTGAAAGCGAAAGACGCAGGGTTTGACTGGGTCATTTTGCTTGAAAGATTTAAAATTGGGGGTTTGAGTTTGACTTGGGTTTTGGGCGAAGAAAAACTTGGTCGTCGAATAGTGTTCTCGATGTCGGAATCAGATTCGGAGAGAGACATTAACAGTTTGGTTGCATACAAGCAAAAAATAAAGGAATAATCAAAAGGTACTCACAAGCTTAGGTAGAGAAAGGTGATGGCACGATGCATTTCCTTTCCACCGGAGGTTCCTGAAGATGTTCCTTTCAATTGAAAGTATCCTGAAGATGGAATCTCTTCCACAGGGATTTCGAACCGGTAAAACTCGAAACTGAACTTTCGCGACGTTTTCAGCACTATTTTCACGATGAAAACACTATAAAAACGCCGTTACCGATCCTGTTCGCAGCGCCAGTTATTTTTGTTTAAAGTAAAAATCCGTTTTTTTAAAAACAGGAAAACTTTATTTAAACAAAAGTTGAAAATTGACTCACAAATGAGATGTCGCAAAGACCAATAACTTGTATAAGTGAGTGAAATAATTCTTGACAGGAGTATTTATAATATCATGTTGCTGACATAATCAAGATGCAACGCAGTGCATAAGTTGTACAATAGCTTCTTTATATTAAAAATAAGACATAATACAAAACTAGCGTATCTATAAGCATACTCCACATAAAGTATGTTTATGAACACTCTACAGATACAAGCGCATATTCCTACTTAGGTGTGAGTGTCTGTAGCTTGTCCACAAGCATAGTCCACATGGAGTGTGTTTAAAATAATATAAAAAATAATATCTCTTGTTTATATTCATTAATTAATGATAGACAATAACTAACCCAATAGATGAGAGTACGTGTGAGTGTCTGTAGCGTGTCTATAAGCATACCCCACATGGAGTATGATGTGCATATATTAAAAAAATTATTGCATGTTTTTTAGTTTTTTTTTTTTAGTTATTGATATTTTTATAATGGTTTTACAAACATCTTTGCAATTTCCCATATAATGTGATTGTTTGCTGTGAGAAAATAAAATTTAATGAAAGAGTTCTTTCTAGTATTCTCACTTTACACGCCAAATTAATTGAGAGTGTCTGGTCCGAAGGACCAAAAACTGTCGAATGTGGTGCCTTTCGTTCTTTTGGTTATTACCACTTCGAATGAAATGAACTGTATTCTCCTTAATTGTTTTTTATTTACACTATATTTACACTTAACTTAATATTTACACTTACTTGCAGCACTATTTGCAATAATAACTTGGATAATCAATTTGGTTGTTTGTACATACAATAATGTTGGTTGTTTATTATAAATTGGGTTTTTGATTGGTGGAATTGTTGAATTGGTTTTGGTTGAATTATTATTGAATTAAATGACTTGAATTCATTTCACGTTGTTAGAGATGTGACCTTGAAGAAATCTGCGCGAAGATAGAAAGAATACACATTAGGCGTGAGCAAAACAGAAATAGTTGGAACAAGCTTGAACGAGTAGAGCTCTTGATGGGCGGTCTTAGGGGATCGGCTAGAACTGCACAGCACTAAACGAAAATGTTTAGCAATTTGTTAAAACAAAAATGTATATATAAATAAACAAAGCAAAAGTTTTATATGTGTGTAGAGCGTTAAGTTAATTCATTTGATATTATTTTGGCTAACTATGCTTTTAAATAAAGCATATTCTTAAATTTTAACGAGGTAGTTTAAATAGTCATTGCTCTTCGTAACAGCATTAAACATCAATACGTATATTGTACATATATAAAAGATTTTAATTACTTTTTAATAATCTACTGTTTTTTATTAGCGTTTACTGTCTATATGAAACAATCCAAATTTAATTTTGTAAGCATAATATAAAGTAATTATGCAAATTTTATAACTCGGTGTCGTTTTGATTTAGAAATAGAATTGTTGGCCCTGAAAAGCGCCATTGTAATTAACAAGCGCTAAATATTCAGTGTATTTCCCTAATCTTTATCTTCAAAGTCTTCATCGTTTGACTCAGAAGATTCATAGTCGACTCCTACTTTAATAACCGAGCCTTCAATGACCCTTTCGACCGCTGGATCCTCTAATGTGTATGCATCTTCTGCTTAATAACTTTGTTGCACACACTTTCCTATTTTTCGATAGAGACACTTGAGAAAAATTCTTCAAAAAGTTCTTTTACGTCACCCAAGTTAAAAGATACATTGGGTTCGGGATAGCGTTGCTAGGTCCGATTTGTTTTAAATCGGAGCAGAAGGTAAAACAAATCGGGATTTATTTGATGCCGGTATTGAAGCCATAAAAGAAAATAACTTTTGAAGATTTAGAAAGTCTTGATTGTCTTTAAAAATGTTGTGCCACTTTTTTAACGCCGTCAAGTCTTTGTTTTGGACTGCTGTCTTTGTATTTGGGCTGTAAAACCTCACCATCAGCAGAAACATTTTTGTGGCACCGTGATTGGAGGCGTCAGTAGCAATACTATAAAATGTATCATTTTGCAAAGTTTCGACAGCTTCTTGAGTCGATGCTGGACCTAAAACGTTATGTGCAATGGCACTGGCCTTAGTTCGTCCAAGTGTCAGTTTTTCAGCAATTTTTTAATCACCATACAAAGTATGTTGAGTTTTGTGTCACATTCGAGTGAATTGAATGATAAGCTATGCTTTACCGAATGGTACGTCTTTGTAACTTCAGCGGCTATCACTTTTTCTTCTTGAATGCTCATTTGTTCAGTTTTTAAAAATATTTATAGCGATGTAGATAGACTTGCACGTCTTTCTCTTTTTTGGTGTTCATTACATTTTTGATGTTCATTACATTTTTGATGTTTTTCTATATCATTCTTGCCACCATGAGATATGCTAAACTCTTTTTGGCACAATGTGCAAAGTGCTCCTAACTTATTATTTCGAACGGATTTCATGAACGAGTAACTTTTCATTCAAACATCGAGAAAATAACACATTCTTCTTTGTTTCTTCTTTTTCGGAGTCGAAGTCGAAGCATCGGTTTTTACTTCGGATTCGGAAACAGTTTCTGGATCACTAATTTTAAAGGAAAACCGAAAATAAATGAAATCCAATAGCAGCAACCAACACCACCAATACATAAACACACACATGCGTAAATAAATACATACATACAAACAAATATACTCTGGATTATGTTAATCAAGCAGGAAATCAATACATACAATTTCGTTAAAAAACATTGAAAGCATTTATTTATCTCTCCCGGCACTTTGCACAAACCCTCAAGTCAAAAATTATTTGTGTAAACATTTGATTAATGTTTAATTAAATAATTTGAATGCTTACCTGCAAAGAATCTCCTAAATGTATATTTTTTCTGCTAATAAAATTGCAAAACACATACGAACCGCAACAATGTGAACGAACGAAGACCGGCTCATTGAGTGAAGCCAAAGTGAAGTACCCACGTTCTAGTCATCGCGAAGCGGTAGCGTCTTTCTACAAATCTTATTTTACCCTGTGGTAGCGTCTCTGAGCGAGAGAGAAAACAAAACTAAGCTATACCTATAGCGTTAGTCATGGGATGCGTGCTATTTTAAACGCATTGTTGCACTCAATATAATGATGCGATGCGTAATTTTTCATTATTCTAACAATAATGGGTTTTTAATAAATTTATTGATTTATCGGGACATTTACCGTCTCGATCAGGTGCAAATCGGGACACCTGGCAACCCTAGTTCGGTAACAAAATGTTTTAGAGCTGCTTAAACATATTCAATTGGGTTTAATTCTGGATGATATGGCGGTAATCGACGAACATCGTGACCAGCTTCTTGTATTCTTTGTACAATTCTACTTTAAGCATACTGTTTCAGAAATCTAAATGTCTTTTTCGTAGCCAATTCTGCATCTCTGTTTTTAACGAATTCGAATTAGAGCATTTATCTTTTTGAACGTTGTGGTATGGGGAATTGTCAATAAGTACAACTGACTTTGTAGGCAAATTAGAGAGAAGTTTTTCTTAGACCCACTTTCGGTAGTTGTTGTAGTTCATGTCATCGCCTGATTTTAAATCTGACTTGAAAATGAGAAGGGCGTTTTCTATAAAGCCCATCTTGCCATCAGCATGAATAATAATTAATTAACAGACGCCCTTTTGCTAGTGGTTGCAGAAGGCCTTCTGAAATATCATCGGTCCATGATTTTTTGAAAGCACAATTTGAATGTATATATGTTTTATCCATATAAATAATTGGTATGCCTGCATGACAAAAAGGTCTTATTTTTTTTTTTAAAGCGACTCGCAAATGTCGAATCTCAGCTTTTTTCCACTAACAATTTCCTATTAGTTTGTTTTTTTTTTCACCGGAAACCAATAGTACTCGCCAGATACTAACTTTCGAACAGCAATACCCCGTGTCGTCTTGGTATTTCTGGTTAATATTTATCAGTGTTGGGATCATCTTTTCAGTAACACAAAAATTATTCACCGTTCTTCTTATAACATCTTGTTTCGGATAATACTTATCTCTTACGATGTGCCATATTTCAGAGAAATTTTCTCAAACGCTTCAAATAAATTTTAAAATTACGAGTATGAAGTTAACAGACAGTTGACAAAAATAAATTTTTGAATAGTTAATTAATNTTTCGCATTCTTTTTCAGACATTTTGTCATGGGTTGAATAATTTTGGCAAAATTTTTGATAAATCTCCGGTAATATCCCATAAGTCCTAAAAATGCTCTTAATTGCTTAATGTTTGTTGGTACAGGGTAATTTTTAATTGCTTTAATTTTGTCAGGATTAGGTAATATCCCTTTTGGTGTAACTACATGGCCTAGAAATTGTACTTTGCGAAGGAATTCACATTTATCCAGCTGAAGCTTTAAATTGCACTCCTTAAACTCTTCAAAAATAAGTTTTAGATGATGTAAGTGGTCTTGTAAGGATCTCGAAAAAATAATAACGTCATCCATATATACAAAACTTATTTAAATATTTTCGAAGCACATTTTCCATAACCCTTTCAAAAGTCGCGGGTGCATTCTTCAATCCAAAAGGCATCCGTACATATTCATAGTGTCCATTGTCCACTGTGAATGCTGTCTTTTCGATGGAGTCCTTGGCTACTTCAATTTGGTGAAAACCTTGGGCAAGGTCAAGCGTCGAAATATAAGTAGACCTTCCTAAATTGTCGAGAATTTCTTCAATTTTCGGCATGGGATATTTATCTTCGACAGTTTTCTCATTGAGACATCGGTAGTCGATAACAAGTCGGTATTTCTTTTCTCCACTAGCGTCCATCTTTTTTGTAACAATCCAAATAGGGGAGCTGTAGGGGCTAATAGACGGTCTTATGATTCCATCCCTCAAAAGCTTTTGAATTTGTTCTTGTATTTGTTTCTTCAAATGCTGAGGATGGCGATATGGTCGAACGTAAACAGGTTCATCATCTTTTGTTCTGATGTTATGTTTAACTTGATTAGTAAATGTTAATTTATCTTCATTTTTATGAAATATTTCCGCATATTTATTTGTCAATTCCAACAATTTTGACTTTTCTTCTATGTTTAAATGATCCATTCTTAAAAGATTTTCGATGTTAATATATTCTTTCTCGAAAGTGTAATCAAGTTCTTCTAATTCGTCCATAGGGGTAACTTCTACAGGGTGTTCAAATATGTATGATTCTTCGAAAGTGCTTGGAATGGTAGCGAATCCGTTTTGCACTTCTACAAGAACGGGAGGAATATTTAATTCGGGGATTTCTTCTAAAAATACCTGTCCATGGTTAATATCGACTGGTAAATGTATTTTACCATTTTTCGGTTGAACTTCGATTGGTTGGAAAAAACGTGGGTTATTATACAAGTGAAATGGTATTTCTAGATCGTTTAGGGTTATTGTATTAATTTGGTAGTTAATTTTTGCTCCTAATTGTTTCAAATCGTTGGTTCCTATAAGTGCGTCGAATTTTTCATGCCACTTCATAATTCTAAGCTGAATGGGGTTGAATATACTTATACCTTCCAAAAAAGGGTAATAAAGATTATATTTTTCACTTCTAGAAACTGTTGCAGATCTTACTGTGAAGGGTTGTTCAAAAATGTACTCGTCGGGAAAACAAAATGCAACTTCGGGGTTAATTATAGAATAGTCTGCGCCAGTGTCAATTAAAATTTTTAAACCATTGGGTAATATAATAAATGGCAATTTTGGCATACTAGCGGCGTTGTTCAGGTCAATTATGTCGTCGGATCTGAAGAGGCTGTCTGTTGAAAATTTTCGTTTTCGTCTTCATAGTTTTCTTCAGTGTCGTAGTTTTCTGCATTTTCTTCGAAGTGGAATTCCGGTTCTGTTTCGGGATAGCTTTGTTCTTCCATATTCGTTAATTCTTCAGAAATGAAATTTGGCGGACCAGTACTTCTAAAATGATTAACGAATGGTTGACGTGGTCGGGTTATACCAGGTGTAAATGTATTTCGGGTGCTTGTCGACATTGGGGTTGGTTTTGGTAGTTGATGTGGTGGTATGACGTTCTTTTTGAAGACGTTGCTCGGAGGTTTCCCAAATACTTGTTGATTAGTAGGAAAATGTTGTTTTAT